CATGGTGGTCACTGCAGGAGCCTAAGTGAGGAGAGCCCAGGCACACAAGGACAGCCATACCCTCGGTCACACCAAAGGTCCATCCAGCCTCCGATCCTATGTCCAGCATCAAAAGCAGACCCTTAGGGAAGAATATGAGAAAGGAAACATACCATGACACTTCTCCTGTGTGCTTTCCCAGCTTCCAACAATTTGAAGCTCAGGGACTTCCTAGACTGGATGTGTTTTTTCCATTTTAATTAACCCTACCCCAGAAACCTATCTAGCCTCTTCTGTGCAAAATTTTAGCACCCGCACCATCTTTTAGCAAGGAGTTTCACAAACTAATGGCACCTTTTGTGAAATAACCCCTTCCCTTTCTTGTGAGCCTGACATTTGCTAGTGTCATTGAGGACCCATAGTTCCTACATCAAAATGGGCAGAGAAAAGTTAGGAGAATCCTTGTTCTTCCTCCATGTACCACCATGAGACGTGGAAGTAAGTAAACCTCAGATGATGGAAGTTTTATTCCAGACCTGCAGGAGAATTTTTAAAGCCTCCATCAGCACCGACTATTCGATTTCCCATATTCAGCTCCCATTTGTCTTGCTCTGTATCTAGAAAGATGGAGCTGAAAAGGACTTTCTGGATCACAGAGCCGAGTGCCTGTTGCTTTAGGTGTGACAGCTTACCTTACCCAGGAAAACTGATAGTCAGCATCCTAGGATATTTTGCTTTCATGCATCTGCTGGAAGATGGCTCCAACCTTCCACCCTGCTCCAACAGCTGGGAAATTACCTCTACTTTCCTCTCTCAGTGTGTTCCCATCCAGTTTCTACCACCTCTGAAATTAAATCTGATTACACTTTTCCCTCCCTGCTATTTGCACCCCAGTGTGTCTATAAAGCCACACAACCCAGCCTGACATTTGCTAAGCAAAAGAGCCTCGGCTCCTTTGTCCCCTTTCACAAGACCAGAGCTCTGCTCCTAGTCGCACAAGCAATTTTCCTCTTTACATTTTCCTTTAAAGCATCTTTCTTGGCTGTGCCTGGTTAGAGTCACACAGACGAGGTCTCACAAAGGGGTCTTGGATGATGCACAACAGTTTGCTTAAGATCAGTCTTCAAAGAGCTCCACTTTACATGTGGTTTCAATAGTACCATGCTTTTGAGGTCCAGTTGCCCACATCACCTTCACCTCAGGAAGGAGAGGCACTGGGGTTTCTGTTTCCCAGGGATGCAACCCATCTCTCAGCCAGATTAATTGCTGTTTTCCAGCAGGACCTTGCAGGCAGAATGTGACATGTCCAGAAAGCATCACATTATCAGGGGTAGATCTTTCCAAGCAAATCTGATTGCTTGCTTTCTTGTCATTTATAAAACATGTTAGCAGATTAAAGTTTCTGAGCAAATCATACTCTCAGAATTGCTTGTTCAGTGGAACACCCTCAGGTAGGATGAACAAGAAGCACAAGGTCAAAGGACTGAGCTGGAGGTCTGCAGATTGAAGTGCATTGTGGCTGGCACTTTAGGGAAAATAATGGCAAACTAGAGGGAGTTCAGAAATAAGGATGAAGTTAAGCTGGAGAGCTGAGGGGACTGGCTCACCTGGGGAACAGTCTATGAGAAGAGCCTTGAAACATGTTAAAGGCTACAGTGAAGTAGAAAGGAATAATTGTCCTACATGTCCTCTGAAAGGACAAGTCAGGAGTCTAAATCCCAGAAAAAGTAGGAGAAATTCAACCTAGGCTTAAAGAAAATTTCTCCAATGGTAAAGATAGAAACACAATGATGAAAATAGAGCTGCAGTGCCCAAGCAGACTGATGATCCATTTTTGCAGAAGACCAAGCAGGACAAAAATCTGTTAGGGATGACCCTGGTACAACCATGTTGTAATGGCAAGGGTGCCAGATCGGACTGGGTTTTGTTCACATCTGTTCTGTAGGACTTCTGAAGGTGGTCCATGGAGTGACTGCAGAAACACCTTCAAAAACCAAACACACACATTCGCTCCCCACTCCCCCCTGCCCACGCATTCCCATTCTGAAAGCAAGCAAACAGAACGGAGGAGAATAAAAGCTATATGCCTGTGGATGAAGTCTACCCTTAAATTTATTCAGTTGTAAAGCAAACTCTCTGCAAAGACAATGTGCAAGCTGGTCTGAGAATTTTCTGTTGCAGGGAGACAAGGCTGCCCAAGGTCTTTTTCAAAACTCATGGTGCTTTTTTTTGTAAAGAATGTAGTCAAGAAGCATGGAACTGGAGAGGGTCATGGGGCCTTTTCCAGACTCTTTTCTCTTTTTTTTCTCTCTTTTTAAATAGATCTATTTTTTTAATGTTTATAAAGAAAAGACTGCAGCAGCAAATCCTTTTGTGCTGCTCCTATTTAAAATCCGTGCACTGATGGATGACCTACCTGGCTTGCTGCTGCAGATTTGTCCAGATAAATCAGCAGGTGTACCCAACTCACCCAGCCCCTGCGGGAGTGGTGCTGGCCAGCCCCGCTTCCACCGGGTTTGTCGCCTGCTTCTCTGACCCAGCAGCTTTTAGCGGTGGAAGCATTTATAAGTTTGCTGAGAGGAATCCCCAGTGTGTCTGTCTCATGGCTCAAGAAATGAGTCCACACACATATACATGTGCAGCTGACTTGCTCATTTACTGACTAACCTCTTAATTCAGTTTAATTGAGAAGATATTGTGGCCAATCCCCTATAGGGCTTATAACCCCTGCAGTAGCCTGAACTCTACCTCATCCTTTGACCCTTCCAAACACAGGTCCCCGAGCTTGGCGTTGCCTGCTCCCTCTTTTCGGGATGCTGGATCTTTCCAGATGCAAATGAGGTCTGGGTCTCCTTCCATGGTCTGTGTGACCATGAGATGGAGCTCCTGGCTGTCTCCATCCTGTCAGAGGCTGCAAGTCAGGGGAGGCATGTCCTGTCCCACACTCGTGCTTTGCATTCTCTAAGACAACAGCAGAAAGAGCACAGCTAGATAGAAATCACATGGCAGACCAATTCTGGCCACTTGGCCTGAGACTAATTTTGTCTATAGTCTCCTTCTGCAAAGTCAGGGTTTGCCATTGAAAACCTCCTGACCAAAGAGGGCTGGCACTGCGCAGTGAAAAGGCTGCCGAAAGCAGTGGTGTGCTTCCCTGAAGGGGATGAGAAGAGCTGCACCAAGCCTGGCTGGATGTCCCCAGGTTTGGGTGATACTGGGAGCAGTGCATCCTACCTGGGCAGCATCAAGCAACGGCAATGGAGGCAGACCCTGTAACTGGAGAATAAATCCACTGCCTGGCAGGCTCCAGGCAGTGCACCCAGCACCAACACTTTCCAGCCCTGACACTTTCCAGCCCCAACTTGGACCAGGACTATGAGACTCGGGTTGGAAGAGTCTGGTCTCTGAGTCAGGTGGAAAGATCTGTGCTGTATTTTAGTTGCTGGGCATTGTGTAGATTGTACTGTTGCCAAGGGGGTGGTGGCAGTACGGGATGCAACTGTTCATAGTCCAGAAGGCACCCAAAGGCAGCAGTGTCAGGAGACACTGAAAGAATTGAGTTTATACCCACCAGCTTGGGTTTGGTGTTCACCACAGCTCTTTGTAACGCTCCCCTTTCCCCTCTAGCTCAGTGCAGGATACATGCAGGACCTCAGGCTTCCCTTAGAGACCAGACTCATGGAATTCCTGTGCCCTGATTTCCATGGGGTGAAGGCAGAGGGAGAGCTGTGATGGTAAGTCAGTATGTGGTGTTAGAAGATGAGTTTTCATCATAGTTAAAATCAGGTACAGGATTTCCGAGGAGAACAAGAGGAGCTTAGTCCCCGTTCTCTGCTCCCCTACTTTAATCTACACTCCTGCTCCTTGCCTCCAGTGCTTGGAGGTGACCCTCATACAACAGCCCCACAGGCTTTTTTTTAGTTTATGGCCCTGTCCTTTGCATAAGAAATCTGCATAAAGCAAAGGACACTTGTGCAATTGTGCTCTCCAGCTGCTCTATGCACCCGATTGTAAGCAATTCCCACTCTCCCTAACACCTCCGCTGCACCTGAGCGTTAGTTCAGGGGAAGGAGCGATGTATTACCCTCATGCAGTGCAGCATGTGCAGAATTACATGGTCTCCAAAGAAGAGAGCCAGTTTGCTAAAGTGCCAAAACCACAGGAGTAGGATCTCACAGGAGTTTGGAGGCAAGCAAAGGCTTATGAAAAACCGGAGCTTCTCAAAATCCCATTACAGGTGCCTATATGCTTATAGGGAAGAGACACAACAACACAGAAAGTTAGGGAGTCTCAAAATTTTATAGAACAACATTTCATGGCTGATGCTGTTTTGGTGTTTCTAATTAGAAAGGAACAAAACCTTATGTCACACTGCAGGGTTTCAGTATGACTTGTAGATCCTGTTCTCAAATGAGCTGGCTTTTTGTGATTGCTGCAAATGCTTCAGTAAGGTTTCAAGACAGGATTGGGAGAAAAACAAAATTTGTTTGGGCCAACATCTGGATGACTGTGTGTGTGTGTGTGTGTGTGTGTGTGTGTGTAAATGTGCATACACACATACCACACTGTCCTCTCATAGCCAGGCACCAGGATCAGGAAGCTGCTAAATACTAGTAAGTGAATAAATGGAGAGTTACAGACTGGGTGAAAAAGGTACATGGGGAGGATGAATCCATGAACAGACTTTCATTTCCAAAGTGGCAACAGTCTTTTATCAAGAGCTGAGGTGAAGAGGAGAGTCATGAGGTGATACAGATCTGAGGAGAACCAAAGATACAGATAGACACGATTTATCTTTCCATTCTGAACAGGAATGTAGAATTCACTTTCTAAAAATAATGTTTCACCAGTCAAATTTTCTGTGGTGCCTCCAGCTTTCAGGGTTTGGCCAAGATGATGAAGGGCTCATGCCGCTTTTCCAATAGACAGCTTTTTAAGCTTTTTCTTTGCTCCCCAAACATGCTGCCGTTGGTCCCTGGCCCAAACCCTATTCCTTGCTACCTGGCATTAGCAATGGGCTGGAGTCAGGACTGGGACTGGATCTCTTTCTGCCAGAGCAGGCTCAGCACCCACTCCCGGATCGGCTTGGTCCTCATCCCGTAGATGAGTGGGTTGAGCATGGGAGGCACCAGCAGGTAGAGGTCAGCCATCAGGATGTGGATGTGCATGGGGATGTTCTGGCCCCAGCACTGAGTGTAGAATGAGAAGAGCCCAGGTGTGTAGAAGAGCACGATGACACCGATGTGGGAGCCACAGGTGCCAAAGGACTTCAGACGAGCCTTTCTGGAGGAGAGGCCTATGACCTCCCTCAGGATCAGCATGTAGGAGACAGCGATGAGGATGGAGTCTGAGGCCACCATGATGGTGGCAGCCATGATCCCGTAGATGCTGTTGAGCCGGGTGTCCCCACAGGCCAGCTTCACCACTGACATGTGCTCACAGTAGGAGTGGTGAATGAGGCGGGGACCACAGTAGGACAGGCTGGTCACCATGCATGTCAGAGGGGTGACGATGGCAAAGCCACGCACCACAGCAGCCAAACCCAGCTTGGCAATGGTGGGGCCAGTCAGGATGGCAGAGTAGCGCAGGGGCTTGCAGATGGCCAAGTATCGGTCGAAGGCCATGGTGACCAGGACCCCTGACTCTGCCGTAGAGAAGCTGTGGATGAAGAACATCTGGGCCACACAACCCTCAAAGTTGATCTCGTGGGATTGGAACCAGAAGATGCTCAGGAGCTTGGGTATGGTGGAAGTGGTGAGCACGAGGTCAATGGCAGCCAGCATGGAGAGGAAGTAATACATGGGCAGGTGCAGGCTTGGGTCCAGCCTAATCACTAGGAGGAGTGTGATGTTCCCCAGCACTGCCATGAAGTACATGGTGCAGAATGGGAAGGCAATCCAGAATTGAGCATCCTCCAGCCCAGGGATGCCTATCAGGTTGAAGGATGTGGAACTGGAGTGATTTGGGTAGGACATGAGGCACTGTTGCAGAGCCAGAAGGGAAGACACAGGAGCAGCTGGCATAGAGAGAGAGAGGAATGAGCTGTAACAATCACTACTGTGGACACCAGCCACCGCCCCTGCCTGTCTTCTCAGGCACACAGACCTGGACTCGATGATCTTTATGGGTCCCTTCCAACTTGAGATATTCTATGATATGTTTCTATGATATGATTCATAAACTCCTGCCTCTTATCCAGGTACACTCAGTCCCATCACTGGCAAGACGCAAACTCACATGGTCTTAGCCGGAATGTTTGGGAGTTATCTTACCTCTCCTCCCATCCTGAGCTGGCCTCTGGCTGTTGTCTTCAGCCCTCCCCTCCATAGTTTGGGAGTTACAAGCTAGAAGATAAGTACATTTAGTTGCCATCAGTACAAAAATCTAATATGGGAGAAGGGTGAAGGTCCAGAATACTTTGAGGATGCAGCTCAGCAGGACTCTGGTCACCCACACACCTCTGCAGGTGTAAACCATATCTTCTTCTGGGCTGGTGTGCCCCATCTGATTCCCACCTTGGGAAACTGCAGCACATGTATATTTGCAACATCAATGTTTGTTGTCCAGAGCATTTTTGCTGTGAGAGCTGATGCCCGGGGAAGCAGAGCACTGCCCCAGCTGTGCGCTCTGCTTCAGGACAGCACTGTCAGCTGTGGGGCTGTTCCTGCCAGAGCCTAAATCCAAACTGTCTTGCTGGAGTCCCTCTCTGAATGGGCAACCAGCCTACAGGACGCCCGTCTCCTGCGTTAGGAAGGAAAACCAGTGTCATGACCAAAACTGGCCTGAGGCTGCAGTGCTGGTCCCTTCCAGCGCCAGCCCTCCCACAGTGCGTTGTACCTCCTTACCCTCAAGCCCTTGACAAACAGAAGAAGTGCTGTGAATTGTCCCTGTTTTACAGGGAAAACAGAGGCACAGAAGGGTTAAATTAGCCTGCTGGCAGTATGGGAATTAGATATAAGTTTCTCAGGCACTTGTACCCCCTGTTTTCCCCAACATACCACAGGGCCAGACTTCATCTCCTCGGCTTTCCAGGCATTTGACTTCCTTGACCTCTAAATAGTTTCATCTCTCCTCCAAACTGCTTCGAGTCCTCCACATGACACAAACCAACAGGCATTTCAGTCTGCTTCTAGTCATTGCTATTTGCAATGTAAGGCCGAATACTGCAAAGCCAATATTGTGAAAATGCTGCCAAGACAATTTTATTTATAATAGTTTATTGCAAAGAGGACTCTGTTTACAGAGTAGTCAGCTACCTTGGCTATAAATTCAGGGAGGCAGAGCCACAGCTGGCACAAGCCAGTCCAGCAGGAAACATGTCTCGTGCCAGAATTATTTATCTGGAAAGGGCAAACACATCTGAGATCCTGTAATCCTGTGCTTGGGAAAAAAGCAGATACTCCCTTCCTCCTCTCTGCCACAGGTAATTAATCTACAAATCCTGTGTACTGTTCTGGGCAGTGTTACCTGTACTTCATCTTGTATAATAAAGCTATCCAGATTATTAAATAATGCTATTGAACAAGCACCAGACTCAGTTTTTACTGGGTCCTTTCATTTATGTTCATAGTGCTGTGCCAGTTCTGTTCCCTTAGCAGGGTCTGATTTCTTGGGTACACAAACACATGAAATACCAAGGCAGCAACCTCTTTAGCTCAGTCTCTCTGACCAGCCCATTTGGGTCATGCAAAGACACTGTCCCCACTGCGCTTCAGTTTCATCCACGTCATACCTGACCTCCTCTACATTTCATGCGTCCTCCTCTTGACATGCCTTGCAGCCACGGTGCCAGTGTGCTAGCAATTGAAGGTGCCTCCGGACCCTGAACACACACATGGGGACAGGCATCTAGTGCCACCTCCCAACCCTGCACAGAGGATCGCACCTGGAGGAGCTCTTCCTTCATCACATCAACTCCAACCCAGCCTTACACGGACCTCTCATTTGTACCACCAACCCCCAAGAATGACTGCAATTGCAGCCTACATACAAATGCCATGTTAGGAAGATAACTGTGATTTTAGCTATTTTTCAGTCGTACATGCAACAGCAGGGATGGGAGCAGCACTTTCAGACTTCTTGCTGCTTAAGTGGAGCAGTGCTTTCAGGCCTGTTCTGAGCATTTTTTTTGTGCTTCATTGGCACAAAAAGCTGATAGTTTTATTTTGTGCAATTAAGTAGTTCAGTAACTTGTAAAGTGACATGTTTTGCTCATTGCAGTTGGCAAAATCCAGAAGATTTTCTAGAAATGGGGGACATTACCAGGCACCTTGACCTAGTTTGCTGTACCCCATTTAGATTTGTTGCAAACTTGTATTTTGTTTTTAAGCAGTGAAACAGATTAAAATACCCTCAGAGAATGACCTGCTTAGTATTGAACAAAGTGCAAAAGGAGTTGAAGTCCTTGATTGCTAGCATACTGGCAAAGTGTTCCTCACTTTGTAAGGAGGGAATAGATCCTGGTACTTGAAGCTGAGGTTTTAACTCTTTCCTCACTCATTTTTGTCAACTCTGCATCTCTGCTGCTAAGCAATAATAATTAAATTTACCAGGTTTGATGCATGTAACATTTTGTGTCATTCTTAGACATTGTAAATCTACCAGCCATGCAGTCTGAGACGGTGAAAAACATATAGCCAACTCCTTTTGCAACCACGCCCTGATCTGACTATGCTAACAGCCATCCTGCACTCCTGATCAGCATACAGCCTGTCATGAAAAAAAAGATCCCTTGAATTTTGGGTTTTAAGAGAGCTAGAGTAATGATCCAGTCCATACCCCTTCCCCACTATAAGATCAAAAGTAACCTCTGATAGATACATGCACAACCTGATCTCCCATTGCAGAAACACTATACTTTCCCCAAATCACTCATTTCAGAGCATTTTCCTAGCGTCAAGCCTATGTCTCACTGGAGCTCATGACTTTTGTCCTTTCCGTAAGGGAGAAGAACAAATTATTACCTTCCTTGTGGTGTTTGCCATCCTCTTCAGGTTTGCTCAAGCAAAAAGGACAGGACTAGAGCTATGATCGGGTAATTGCAGGTCTTCACAGATGACTGGGTTAGCAGAGGTTACACCTATGTGTCTACAGCTTGTTTCAAGTTGATTTAACCAAGGCACAGCTTGCAGGCAAATAATTAGCACTGTTGTAATTAACCTATGCAAGGAAGAAAACTGAGGTTGCAGGTGTATGACTGGCAGTTCTCGACCACAATATTCACTTAATGTGGGATATCTAGAAGTAATGAAGTAGCTCATTAACTCAGTAAGAGATGAATTTCACTTAGATGTATTGGCATATCTGACTAGTAGCTTTTCTGGATAGATTGTTTTATATTTGACCCCGATCTGGCTAAAATTTGAACTTGGCTAAGAACTTGGCACTATGCTTAAAAATACTGGCATAACACCAGATTAAATGAAAAAAAAAAAGTCTACCCAGCTCACCTGGATGATTTGGATGTGACCCCGGCTGTACCTATATCATCTTCAAATACTTTTTCTCTCTCAACAACCAGGCAACTCCTCAACATGCCAAAAGGACCCACATGGAAATATTTATACACCTTAAGGAACCTGATTACCTCAATCACTCACTGCTGGGACTTCAGAGATACTAATCATCACAGAGGAGAAACTGCTGCCTGGGAATAACCAGGAATAGCAATGGTTTGTAAACAAATTCACTCCTCTTTCCCACTGCATGGGTTATGTCTGCTTCAGCATTAAGCAGTGCCAAACAGATCTTTGGTCCATAAAGAGGGAAGATTTTATCTCTGGGTGGGCAGATATCCCTCTGAGCACGACTAGCTGTTCTCCTGGTAAACACACACAAAGGTGCATGTGTCCTTCAGGCTTAATTCTATTGGTATAAAACTTGCTTTGGATTTGGATCCAGTGTCACTGCACTCCTTCTGGGGCACGAGATAGCAGCCTGGTTTCTTAGGGCTGTATTTTAATGTCACCTTTCACCTGAGGATCCTGAAGCATCCATGAACTTTAGTGAATGCTTTGTAAATGAGTGCTGATCCTTTGGACCTAATTTAGGTATTTCCTGGCAGTCTCTGAGGGTGGAGGTCATGTATGAACCACAGATGATCAGTACGGTATTTAGGGAGAGGGGTGTTGGGGAAGGAGGGCAGGAAGCCGTTCAGATAATCACCACATCTGGGATCAATGTCAGTTTTTCAGCTGTTTCAGTCTGGCAACTACAAACATGACACAAAGAGCAATGACTTATGGGTGTGCTGGCCCCTTGGGCTACTGGTCCTTCAAAAGAAAGGAACCAAAACTAGGAGAAATCTGTAGAGACTGGAGAGGAGGAGAAGATCAGTTTAAGGGGCCTTGTGGCTTCTGCTGGCATTTTCGCTACAGACAAATAGATGGCATGGTTAGAGATGCTCTTGGAAGGAGGCAATCCACGCTGAGGCAGGGACAGCACTGGGGGACCATGGGAGACCCAAGCTGGGGCAGAGGAGAGCAAATAAGGACCAAGGAGCAGTAGAAGGAAACAGCCACGCACTGATCCGGACCTCCTGCACCACTGTCACCCCACCAAAGGGACTGGGAGGGCAGGACTGCAACACGTGGCAACAACATGGGGAGTTAAGACTAGGACAGGGGAGAAGAGATGCTGGAGTGATGAAAAATCAGGGAAAGGGGGAGGAACGGTGTTTCCCTAAATGTTTTTTTAAATTACATTTTTAATTCTTTTTTTCCAATTATATTTTTTATTCTTTTTTTTTTCCTCAATGCATGAGTGAATTATTAAAAGTTTATGTTAATTTGTCATAAATTAAATGAAGTTAAAATCCCCAGGTCAAGACTGTTTTGCTCCCAATAGAAACTCCTTGCTTCCTTGGTCTATTTTTTTGTCCCCTCTTCTTCCATATGCCGTTCCTGGCCACGCACCCATGGAGACATGTTTTGCTTTCAGACATGTATTTCCATCGGCTGGGCTCTCCCTGCGTTCATGTTTCTCAACATACAATTCATTGGTGGCTTCGGGTATCCAACTTATATTCAGCCTGCTTCTGATGTGGCACACAGGGCTGCCTTGATGTGTGATTTCAGCAGCTCTTGCAGCATCGGGGGGAATGGAGACATCGGTGTGATGGGAAGCCATCCTGACTCCTGCCCTACCACAGATAGGGTCCCCACAGCCAAGCGATACCTTCTCTCCCACTCCAGAGTCTGACCTGGCCATCAAGGGACCAGGGACGTCTGACCACAGAGGTAGGGAGAGGCCAGAACAGCTGGGGACCACACTGGGTGGGCACCCAGCATCTGTGTTGAAAAGGACCTCTTCAGAAAGCCCTTCCCAGCTGCCATCTCACACCAGGACTCCCTCAGCATGTAAGCCAAATGTGGATCTGCCAGGCAGCCTGCTGCTCCAGATGCAGTCCCACTGTATAATCCAACGGATGGGTTCCCATCCTTTACAAGCAAAAGTATTGCATTTGTGTGCCTGAAATGGGGCGGCTTTTCTGCTCTGAGGCCTCTCGTCATTATCACAGTGCAAACAGGAACAAGAAGACCTGAGTGGAGGCTCGCTCTAGATAATGCAGAGGTGAACCAGTGACACACCTTGCCCACTGAACACCACTTTGAGATTACTGCATCCTTTACCCCTACCTGGGGTCTCTGAACCTCGCTCGCAGTGCTGTGACTGAGAGGCAGAAGGTGGGGGAAGTCCACCCAGCCAGGATGAGACCTCTGGTAGAACTAGAGAAGAAATCTTGGGGAATGCTGGGCACTTTTGGTGGTTGGATGGGCCTCCCAGAGATGGTGGCAGTAATTAATTGCTTGGGTTTTGTAAAAAGAGACAGAGAAAGTCTCCTGGGGCTCTGGCCAAGAGAAGCAGCTTAGGGAGAAGGTAAATCACTGCCCTGCCTCCCTTCTTCTGCAGCAAGGGTTTCTTCCAGCTCTGAGAGACAGGAGTTAATCCTGGTCTTCTGGAGCTGAAGACGAGAGAGGGAAAATGACTTGACATTGCTGACTGGTTTGTGAAACCTCCCAGGACCCAGCTTGGCTATAAACTCCCCAGCTGCAGAGCAGATTCTGAAGTCTGCTCAGCAGGCTGGACAGCCAGAGGTCCTTGGAGAAGAGGAGCTGTTGCTTACTCATCTTGGTCAGGAATCTGGTGAGTCATCCCAGGGAGTCTGGTGCACGAGTTGTGCGAGGGGGGAGGAAAGAGAGGATCTGAACCAAGCCTTGATGTAGGTCCTGATCTGTTGTGGGATGGAAACCCAGCTTGAATTCTGACGATGCATGATTTTTTTCTTAGTTTAAGCTGGGAATTCATAAAAGTGCCTGTGCTGGGTCAAACCGGAAGTCCTCCTCACCTGAGGTCCGCTCTCCAGCTGTGGCTGTGCCTCTGTGCACAGCTGGCAGAGCCCCCGCAGCAGTGCTCAGGGGGTCCTGGAGAATCAGAGACATCCTGAGAGGAGGCTGTCAGGACTGTGCCAGCCTCATGGTGCTGGGGGCCCACCTTCTGCCTTCTCCACCTGCTCCAGGGAAGGAGAGATGTCTTGAATCCAAATAAGCACCAGAGAATTTCATATCTGACCAATGGCGATCATGTTTTTTACTTGATGGGCTTCACACTCTTGCCATGATTCAATCATGCTACATGGAACAGTACTTCTACTGATCAGAGATCTAGGTAAGGATGTGAATTGGCATGTTATGAAGCTTTTTATGAAACCACTATACTCGAAGTAGTAGAGATGAGGGATTATATGAGAACTTTGCAAAGCTGAATGATGAACTGATAAACTGGACAGTAAAATTCAGTATAGGTTCATTAAAACTGAGGCAAAACACAGCCCTATTTTTGCATAGACAATGCTGTGCTATGGACTGTCCATCCCGACTCAGAAATAGGCATCTTGGAGTTAGGACTGATGACTCCTTGAAAACTTAAGTGGTACCCAGTCACTTCTTCACTCCAGACTCCTCTCCTCGTTATCACCACAGGCTTCACTCAGTCCCTTCAGCAAGGTGATGATTGGTGCAGGTCAGGGTCAGTACACAGCAGTTTCTCTCTGCCACTACCTTCTCACTCATTTCCAATGCTCCAGCATGGGCTGATCCACAGGCTGCATTCCCATTGGGGGTGAACCTGCTCCAGTGTGGGTCCTTCATGGGCTGCAGTCCCTTTGGGGTCTATGTGCTCTGGCATGGGCTTATTCATGGGCTGCAGTCCCTTTGGGGTGTACCTGCTCTGGTGTGGGTCCTCCACTGTCCACGGTCCCTTCAGTGGGAGTGCTTCTACCACCATGGAGCACCTCCTACTGCTCTGACCTTGGTGCTCTCCTTGCTGTTTCTCACTCTTTTTGTTCACTCCTCTCTCAGTCTGACATTTTCTGCCCTTTCTTAAATAAGTTTTCAGAGAGACACCACAAACACACCTGGCTGGCTCAGCTTTGGTGCATGATGGGCCTGTTACTGATCCAGCTGGAACCATCTTGTGCTGGGCACAGGGCAGCCCCAGACCTCCCTCCTGGCCACCCCTGCAGCACCCTCCACTACCCAAACCTTGCCAGCTACACCCAGCACACCTCCTCACAAATATCTTGAGCTGCTGTTTACAAATATTGTTTTGCTTTGTGCTGTGTGGATAATGAGTTAATTTGTTCCTAATTCAGGAAATGAAGCTCTTAATCAGATTTGTGCTAGAGATTTCTGCTTCCACAAAGTGGTATTTATCTGTTTCTTCCAAAAATAATTTTCTAAATTATAGGCAGTGAATAAATGCAAGAAGAAGAAGACATAGTGAAAAAGTTAATAGTAGGTGAAAGTGTTTTTATACTCTTTGTCTGTCCCAGTGTCTTTCTGGGATGCATTGGGATACACTGTGAGGAAAGGAACAAGTTCCAGCTAAATGTTGATTCCTGAAGGGCTCTGACTGCATCCATAAAGCCATCAACCTGCCAGGCTTGTGTAGTCTTTTACTACAGTACTAGTGCTTGCTGCACAAAGTATATTTGCTCTACAATTTGCAGTCATAAATTATTGTTATTTGTGTTGTGATAGTGACTGAGAGCCTGCCAAGGGCTCAGGCAGCATGCTGCATAGTCAAAGAAGAGAAGCACATTCCGCATCCCCAAAGCTAAGCCAAGAAAAGTCAAGAGCTGGGTGCAGTTTAATGGGCAGTTCTGTCATCAGAAATTTTAATTGAAATCTGGATCCTCTGTATCTGCTTGGTCCTCACCCCATAGATGATGGGGTTGAGCACAGCAGGCACCAGGATGTAGATGTTCCCCATGATGATATGGACCAGCGGAGCCAGGTCCTTCCCAAACCTGTGCACCACGGACAGCCCAATCAGGGGCACGTAGAAGGCCAGGACCACGCAGATATGGGCAACGCAGGTGCTGAACACCTTGAGCCTCTCCTTCCACGATGCCAGCCGCAAGACAGCCTTGAGGATCAGGATGTAGGAGAGGCAGATGAGGATGGCGTCTAGCCCCATGACCAGCAGGATGGCGGTGAGGCCGTACACCACACTGGGGGTGGTGTTGGCGCAGGCCAGGTTCATCACGTCCTGGTGCAGGCAGAAGGAGTGTGACAGCACCCGGGAGCTGCAGAATGGAAGGGGCAGAGGAGGACTTGGTTCTGTCTCTCCTCTGGAGCCAGGTGATGCTCTGGAAGTCTTAGAACATTAAGGGTGTTTATTTTTTTATACTGAAACTTCATTACTAGCATAAAAGCTGCACTGTAGTACCAACAGAGCAGTGCTTTTATAGTGTGAAACAGGTGTATCTGCTATCTGGAGTCACAGAGTCACTGAGGCTGACAGGGACCTCTGGAGATCATCCTGGCCAACCCCTCTGCTCAGGCAGGGTCACACAGGAGCAGGTTTCCCAGGACCGTGTATACCTCGGGTTTTTGTATGTCCAAGGATGGACACTCTACAGCCTCCCTGGGAAACCTGTGCCAGTGTTTGATAAACATCATCATAAAAAAATAATATATATATTTGTTACATTTAAATGGAATTCCCTGTTTTTTCTAGTTTGTGCCCATTGCCTCTTGTTGTTTCACTGGATACCACTGAGAAGAATGTGGCTTTGTCTTCGTTACTCCATTCCATCAGGTATTTATACACATTAAGAAGGCACACTCATGCAAAGAATCTCTTTGCCAAGGGAAATGCCCCTTCAACAGGGACCATGCCTCTCTTAAGGTGCTTGACACTCAAGAAAGACAATAGTTTGCATTGGTAACTATTGATACAGTATTGGTACAGCCCATAGGACCACAAGCAGGTTAGCAGTACTCTGTGGGTTATTTATTATCTACCTTAGAAGCAACTGGGATGAGTCCATCACCAGGACTACTTCATGTACTAGTCATGCCCTTTGCTGTCCCCTCCCTAACTGCTGTTTGGGGCACAGTTTATTTAAACTATGTGTATTTAAACCCATTCAGCTCACTGCTGCAAGATAGTGATGATGCGCCTTGCTTAGGAACCAGTGTGTGCATTAAGAACATGTACGTCAGTGGGTGAAAAGTAAGACTCTCCATCTCTTTGTGCTTCAAACTGTGCAGCTGTGAGGGGAAAGGAGAGATCTGAGAGTTAAAGGCACTGACTGTGGCTTAGGCAAACTGGAGCTGCAGAACTGGTTTGGTTGCAAAAGGGCTGGAGACACTGACATTCCTGGCTGTTGAAAGTGTAAAGCAGGGTCTGCTCAGAGTGTTGAGACAACAGCAACAGGGACAGTGATGTGGGTTTCAGAAGAAATTCTGACCTGGTCATTTTTTAAAATAACTGTTGTTAATGAAACATCACCTAGGTACTAAGGGTGACCTGCTCCCTGTAACTGACCTGAGCAATTCCTATGTTTGGCAAAATCCTCCCTTCTGCTTTTCTGTCCTGGGCCATTGCCCTGCAATGATGAGGGGGTGATTCACCTAGACTTCCCTCAATAGTCCTGCTTTCGGCCGCAAATCAAACATCACAAACCCTCTGAAGAAGTTATTGCTCCATTGTCCCTTTTGCACAGTGAACCAGCTCCCAACTTCTCTTATCAGTGAGGATCCCCCCCTAGGAACCCCCCACTCCTCCGCACCTCTCGGCCCCAAGCACTTCTCTACCATTACACCCTGTCCTGCCCCATGCAGAGCATCTTCCACCTTCACTTTCCCCTGGTGTCCCAACCAGGCTGGGTCCGTGGCTCAAGCTAAGGACACACCTCCAGAGAAGTGCTCTGTACTTTACCAATGCACATCACAGTGGGCCACAATAAGGGGCTGATGGTATTGTAGAAAAATTTTAAAAATAAAAATCTACTTGCCAGTTTTTGCAGTTTTGCCTCTTGCAGGCACTTTCTCTCCTGAGAGAGACAACAAGGACATGAACACCAGTCCCACCATGGTCATACCTCAAGCAGATAAAATTGACTCGTACTGCAGGAGGTTGTGGTTTGCCTCAAAGCTACCCAGGGCCATCAGCAGCAACATAGACATCTCCATGAGCAACAGTGAGCGGGTGAAGATCTCAGGGAAGCAAGCACTGCAACTGATTTCCCTATACTTAAACCACAATATTCCCAGCACAATACGACCTGAAGGCAGACAGAACAGTGGACAACACGGCCAAGAAATAGTACATGGGCTTCAGTCCTCTCATTGCATAAAAGATGAGGAGGCATTGCCAAGGTTCACGGTGAAACAGAGCAGAGGTGAGAAGTTTCCAAGCCTGGGAAACCTGTCAGGGGGAAAAATGCAGCCCTGAAGCTGATGTTCTTGAATGCTGACATAAGCTCCGTGCAGATTTGCTTGAGCTCCTAAGCCTTGAAGTGAAGAACAGTATTTATCAAATATGCTATTATAATTGGCAACAAGAATTTAGAGGCAAGTATGAAGCATAGAGAAACATTAGTATATCCTGCTTTGAATTCCTGGCTTAGGCTCAGCCCTACCTCACTGAAGCCAGTACAAATATTTGCACTGACTCTAGCAGGGAAGGAAAACGGTCTCTGTATTTCAAATACCCAGTACAACCCTTGAGCAACTTGCACTATTACCACTCGCAACAGTGTTCACAGACTCATACCCCATCGTGCTAGGCGCTGAACAGTTGCCACAGGTGAAAACATCTGCACTCCTGAAGGTCTCCTGATAGGGTCTATCACAGACACAGACACGTGGTGTTTGTGGAAGAAGGAGGTGGTGGTAAATGCTTTGTCCCATTGCAAGTAAACATGTTATCTTACACAGAACAGAAGTCCCAGTAAAGGGTAAGGACTGTAAATTTAAGTTCCAGGGGACTTTGAGGGTAAGGGTAAAAAACTGCCTTGGCAAGTCCAAAGTGAGCGTGTTTCTGCTTAGTCTAAATTGTGTAGTTTTTGTGTTCATAGTATAGTTTGTCAATTTAGATGTCTCCCATCCCTGTGCTCTCAGCTAGGGCACAAGGTATGTTATGGCAACAACAGGGAAATTTCAAGCTGATAAATATATTCACAAAATGCCCTCTGGGAATAGTTTCTTTCCTCCCACAGTCCTGACAAAGACCCTGCCTGACAAGCAAAGCAGTCAGAGCCTTTCTCAGGGTATTTTGCATCATCTGAGCTGCAGCAAATATTGGAGAGACTGCTCTAACCCCCAGAAAACGCTGGGAACTTCTGCTTGGCTTCAGCTTTGCTCACTGAGAGCTGAGCTACATCATGTCTGAAAGGTAACACAGCCCCTGAGGAATGACCGTGCTCGTCTGACACCCACAGCTCGTTAAGCTGCAGCAACTCAGAGTCTGACCTCAGGCTCCTGGTGTTTGGAGACAGTCTGGGGTAAGTCTGGGACAAATCCTGACAATCACAAAAAGCGCAGTGCTGCAGATGGCAGAATGAACCTCAGATAAAACCAGATTGCAAGAGCACAGAGAGGTCACACGTGGATGATGGAGGAGATCCTGGACGTCAAAACCCAACAGCTTCCCAAGGCACCCACAGACCTGCACTTCTCATTGCAGAACAGTGTCCCGGCCAGGCTCAGTGCTGCTGACATGGGACAAGCCCCAGGCTGCTCTGTTTTATAGGACACCCTTATCCGTCCCCTGGGGCACAGCACCACGCTGGAAGAACTCGGCTGCTCTGGGTGATTTTATCTGTACACGCAGCTCTGCATCGTGAAATGATTCTTGGTCTTCTCCCCACCACACCAAAATATTCACCTTCTAGACAGGCTCCTTGAGACCCAGGAGAGAAAAGAGGCCGAGCTGCCCTGCTCGAAGCGTCATGATCAGTGGCACAAGATCTGGCTGGAGGCTAGTCACTAGTATGACTAGTGAGTCAATACTGGGGCCAGTACTGTTTAACCACTTCATTAATGACCCAGATGATGGAGCAGAGTCCACCCTCAGCAAGTCGGCAGATGGTACAAAACTGGTGGGGGGTGACTGATCATGCCCCTTAATTCTCCTCCAGCGTCCTGCTTTTTTTGTTTCAGGAGAGGGCTGGTCTGCTTTAGGCAGCCCTCAGCAATCCCTCTTCCAAGAGTCTCCCAATCTCCTTTCGAACTTATGTAAATAATTTGGATCCATAGCAACCTTCAGCAAGGAGTTCCTCTGATCCGCAGCCCGGACAGGGACACCATAGGACCACGCCATGCTCTGGTGCTCTCCCTCCTCACCACCAGCCAGAGAGTGTCACAGCTTTCTGCAAGGGTGTTGACCAAAGGGTCCCAGTCTGTACCCCATCAATGGTGGGGAACAGGCAGCTGGAGGCTCCCCACAACTGGGGACAGAGGGAGCACCCCACGACCCTCCATCTCCGTACCCCATCACCCATCGTCTCTATGTGAAACTCATCACAGAATAAAAAAAATTCTCAAAATAAAGTTTCTGCTTATGAATCCATTGGCTGGTTCCTTTGGTTTGTGCTCTTTTTTGGGAACCTTTTAGGGATTTTTCTTATTGCTCTTGTTTCCTTGTATTTAACCTACCTATCTATCTATCTAAATGAGATGTATACACATATACAAATATAAAGTGTACCTATGCATAAATCGGGGAGCTGCATGGAGGGGGTGCAAGGCACCAGGGCTGGGTCTCTTCACTTTCCAGAATGCAAAAGTTTCACAGAGCAGGGCAAAACTGGGGAATTTTCTGAATACACATTTTTTGTCAATTTTTTTTTTTCACAGCCTGTGCCCCAAAGCTTCCTTCACTCCCATTTTTGCACTCTGCCATTTTTTCAGAGAAGACAGAAAAACCTACTTGTACGCAGTCCCGTGGTGCTCACACCCCCTGAAGAGCAAAGAAATCAGCTGTGACTCCCTGGGTGAGACCCATGGGGTTTGCTCTGGCTGGCTTAAATACGGCTTTCCAGCTTTCTGCCTGCAGCAGCGTGCGTGGCCAGGGCTGTTCCTGGTCCCCAGCCCGTGCCCTCTGCAGTGACCTGGGGTAAGTATGGGATGGGCTGCCTGAAGATGACAGACTAGAGATGTTCTTCCCCTGCAAGAACAATTTGTTTGAGGGCTTGCATCAAAACAAGAATTTACAAAAGTCTCTGGCAGAAACAACAAACTGGCATGCTAGAAAGTGCTGAGATGGCAAATTGCTTTGCTAAATATTAATTTTGAT